AAAAAAAATAAAAAATAAAAAAAATAAAAAAATCAAGCATTGAAGATATTAGTATCATTAAGGCATAAGGAGGAATAAATTAACAAGCTCATATCTAAAACAGAAAAGTGAAGTATGAAATAAAATCATGCCTCTTGGTGGGGAATCATCTCCATTAGTTTCTTCACTTTGGCAGGAAGTTTTCGTATTTGTTTAACAAGAGGCTTTGCACTAGTTGATACTTCATCAATACTAGTGGATATAATATCAGGCTGATGGAATAGTTGATGAAACCTTTCACGCCGTTTTAGATAGAAAGCAATTCTGAGATCAATTTCAGCAGTAAAATAAAAATTAGTATATTTTGTATCATATACTAACCGAATGATGTACATTTTTCACAAAGTATATACGTAATTTATTTAGCACAAAAGGACACTGGAAATGCCGAGTTTGAATTTGGCATACCCTGCTCCTAAAAGTAGTGACGCGAATACCAGCCTAGGCAACTGCTTTTTAGCAGACTCCACAAGACCACGAAAAACAGAACCTGGTGTAAACTCTTCCTCATCTGCATCAAAAGAGAAGAAAGAAGCAGAGAAGAACCGGGATGACTTCTTCAGTAATGCCTTTGGAGCAGCTAATGGTGAACTTTCCTTTGTCGATTCCTTCTGCATTTCCTGTATCCTACTCTGAATAGTTTTTAACTTCTCTGCATCTGCATCTGCATCAGCCTCCACAGATAACTTTCCATTCTCCATCTCACTCTCCTCCAACAAACCTTTTTCATCCAACTGGACACCAGTCGAAGGTTCAACTGAGCCTGCGTCAGATGGAAATTCCTTGTCTGTCACAACACCATCTGCCGAATTTCCTTGAGACACCTCCCCATCACTGATTCCCTCAACTCCAGAATCTGTCGTACCTATACTGGAAAGAGCAAGGTTTTTTTCAGCCCTCTGCAAAGCAATTTCAGCATCATCAACGCGCTGTGCAGCCTTGAGCTCATGGGCCACAGCTTGCTCTGCTAAAAGCATTATGTTTGCCACATCTTCCTCAGCTTTAGAAGCACTAAATTGTGCTTGTTCTGCCACTAAATTCAACCTTTCCAATTCCTTTTGCAGTTCTTCTTTTCTGCTCTGCACCCTTCTGAGCTCAGCCTCGCAATTCGCAAGATGTTGTTGAGATTCTATTATGCCCTGCTGGACAGCCAAAAGTGTTTCCTCTTCACTTGACTGAGTTGACTCTTCTTCTCCACTTCCATAGTCGGGATCACTTTCTGTAGAAGCTTTAGTAGACCCATTGGTTTCTTTTGCAAGTCTTAGTGAATCAACAGTGACTTGAAGTCTAGCCTCAGCCAAAGAGAGAGCCATTGTTGCTTCCTGTACGGCTTCTTTGGCTATAGCCTCTTCATTTACAATCTCTTGGATATTACCAACGGCAGTATTTACATTATCCCAAGCATTCTTAGCTTCATCCTTCAATGCTATAGCAGCTTCTGATATATTCTGGGCTTTTTCCTCAAACATTGTACTGCTTAGACGTGCAATGTCTAAATCTTTTAACGCCTTCTGCACCAATTCCCTCAATTCATCCAAACCAGGAGTCTCGAGTCCTTCATCCTCAGATGATCTTTCCCCATAGGCAGTAGAATCAAGGGCATTGTCACCAGACTCAATGGATTCTGCATCTTTGCCATTTCCATTTACATAAGCTAGAGAATCATTTCCCTGACACCGCAACGGGACCACATGCTTCGAAATTTTAGGAATACCGCCAGTTTCTTTAAAGGAAGAACCATTAAAGCTACAACACAAAAACAGGAGACTGCTTTCATTGAGAGTACTTGGAATGAATGAACTATAGGAATGTGAACCTTTTGTCTTCAACTTTTTCGGTGATTTTGCTTTTGAGAAAAGTCTTGAATCTCCAAAGAAATTGCAGCGGAAATGCCTGTATTTCCGTGGTCCGAGTCCCCTACAACCAGCAACTTCACCCCCATAAAACAAATTTGACCGAGGCAGATTACACGTAACGTCCATCACTCCTTGCTAGTAAGATCAACTACTCATCAACACATTCTACGTAGATTTATGAAACACATTAGCTTCAGATTAACCTGAAAGAGGAAGAAAAGGCGGTGTAAAGACTTGGAAAAAATCTTTAACATCGTAAAGAACCGATGAAACATACTTTTCTCCAGAAATGCACTCGCATCGAGATCATTCAGATACTAACAACAGTACATCTATGTTATTTTCTTTTATGCAACTACTTCCATTCGCCAATCTGAATCGAGGAATACACACGCCACACTGGGGAAAATGCAAATGCATGAATCTTCAAACCTTTTCACCATCTGTCAAGGCATCACTGCACAAATAACAGTGAATGTTCATTTTGTATTCGATAATTACGTAAACTCAAGTCCAGTACATACTCGCAGATCATGTTCTACACACTGCTCGCCATTCACTAACTATCCACGTCTAATAACATATCAAATGAATTTCACTGCAACTGCTAAAATAATCAGTCAAACATAAGATTTTCACTTCCAACGACTCACTAGTCACTACTTCCTCGTTGAATCAAACACAACCAAACAAAGCTTCACCCAAACAAATCGACAAAATCAGACACGAATAATCGAATCAAACGCATGCTCTTCGCATCCATTTCAGCTCCAAAAAACATGGAAAAAAAAAAAAGAAAACAATCTACGGGCACACATACCGAGCTTCAAATATTCAATAACAATCAATAAAGCACAATGGGAAGCACAAAAACCTCAACCGAGCGACTGTGTGCGTACGTGTGTGTGAGAGAGAAAAAGGTGAGCAGAGCTTACCAACGTAGAGCGAGCGACGAGCGTTGAGCTGAGAGCCGAAAGACCAAAAATGGAGGCGGAACTAATAAGGGAGTGAGAAATTGACGGAGATGGTAACGGAGTTGCGTCTCGGAACGGTGAAATGTTGACGGCGAGTGTAATTGCCGTCCGCCTTCTGTGGTTCCTCCGTTTGGGAAGGTGAAGAAGAAAAAAAATGTACTAATATAATAATAACAACAACAACAACAACAATAATAATAATAATAATAATAATAATAATAATAATAATAATAATGATAATAATAATAATAAGGAAAATGTTATGAGTACATAATAAATGTACGTAGATATGTACATAATCAGTAATGCTCCTCTACCCAAGGTGGCACATGTTAATATGCCCGCCGCTTATGTGGCATGCACACATTGATGATGTATTTTTTAAACACTAGTACAATACAGGTGTATTACACGGGTGCTTGTTAAAAATTATTCTTAAATTTTAAAATTAATGAGAAAATTATATTAAATTTTAGTTTACTTTTTTACAAAAAAAAATATATTACTATATATTTTAGATGATATGTGTTACTTATGACTTACATGTGTTATATTATATTAGTTTTTATAACTTATATCATATAACTACTTGAAATATAAATATATTAGGTGATAAATAATTTTATTTTTCTAATTAATATTAAAAATAATTTTATTATTGTTATAAAGATAAATATAAATTATTTTTTTTATACATACAATATAGATGTTAAATCAAAACTTATCAAAAGAATATTAATTTGATATATTACATATGTAAAACTGATAAAAAATACAAAAGTTATTTACTTTTCAAATATATATACAATTCAATAATTATAATAAGGAATGATATTAAAATACAATTAATACGTGTAACATGACCATAAATAATCAACATATTTATGGTAATCCGAACCTAATTATTTTTTGTTTGGAATTAAATTAAAATTTACTCAAGCCTAATAACGAAGCATGTAATTTTGCCACATATGATTCCGAAGCACCAGAAACAGCCACGTAGGCTCAGCGCATTCTGTATTAATATATAGGGGGATATTAACATCACCAATGTGTGCATGTCGCGTAAGCGGTGGGCATATTAACATATACTCCGTGGGTATGGGAGCATTATTGTATACAAAATACTCACATAGAGCGGGTCTACATTATTTTTTATTTTTGGTGGGTCTCACTGTACACATTTATGTACAATATTATGTACCTATAACATTACTCTGATAATAATAAGAAGATGCTACGGCCCTGTTATGGAACCATCCCGTCGAAGTTTGTAACTGTTAGATCAATTATCTCTGACGTTACATGATGATCTAACGGTTTCAAATTTCGACAGAATGGTTCCGTAACGGGACCTTAATATTTCCCATAATAATCATAATAATAATTGATCTGTTTTTAATTAAATAATATTTTGAATAAAAAAGGGAAATGCGTGGAGATCGTGACCCTTTATTTTCCAGTGCGAAACCTTCTCGTGAGATTATTGGCTACGGTGTGACTTGGTATGTATCCCAATTTCTTCATAAATTTCTAAAAAAAATGAAGTTAATATTATGAAAAGCCACATTTTTATTTATATTATTCTTAGATTATAATTAGTTTGTAATCCTCCCTATATATATTATTCCCGAATGTATTGAGCATACTTGACTGTTTCTGGTGCTTCTGAATCCTACTTGGCAAAGAATCATGCTTCATAATTAGGTTTGGACAAATAATATTGGTATATTAATAATTAATAATCTAGGTTCAGACATTCCATTAATATTATTTACCTAACTTAGGTGTTTTAATATAACTTTTACTAATATAACCATTCAATTCTTTGTAATTTTACATAGTCATGAGGCACTAAGTGACTAATATATCTCTGACTTTTGATTTGTTTCCTTTAATTAACTATTGAATTGTAAATGTATTTTAAAAGTTGATAACTTTTGAATTTCTTATCGGTTTTACATATATAATATATCAAATTAATATCTTTTGATGATCTTCAATTTGACATCCACATTGTATATGAAATAAATAAATCATATTTATCTTTATAATAATAAAAAATAATACTATTTATTAAAATTCATTAAAAAAATAAAATTATTTCTCAATTGATATATTTATGTTTAGTGTAGTTATATGTTGTAAGTCAAAAAAATATTATAATATAACACAGGTAAGTCGCACAAATAAAAAAGTGTCATACTAAATATACAATAATATATATATTTTTATAAAAGGTATTGAAATTTTCAATTACTTTTTCTCATTGATTTTAGATTTTAATAAAAAATTAGCAAGTATCCGTGTAATACACAGACACGGACGTTGTAGTGGTTACATATGTTACGAAAAGGTTATTGTCTAATTGTTATACGTAACTTTCAAAATTTGATCTCACTTTGATAAAGAACTAGTGTACACCCCGTGCGATGCACGGGAACAATATTGATTTAATAATATTATAAACAAATCTCGAGTTTGAGACACTCAATGGCGGAAGTGGAAATTACTATTGATCCTATTTAAAAAAAGAAAAAAAATAATAATTATAAATTAAAGAGGAGAATAAACAATACTTAATAATTATAAATTAAAGATTCGGGGTCAAACAATGTAAAATTATTTTATATAATAGAATATAAAATTTACATTATTTTGTATAAGAGAATATAAAATTTGTATGTTTAATATTAAGAACACCTAAAATATTATATTAGTATATGTAATAGTATTCAAATTTTTCTATATTATTTTAGAAAGATGTGAAATCACCTACAACTTTTCTAAATAATTTTAGAAGAAAAACATATCTAAAAACGTTTGAATTTAACATTGTGTATATTTTGTAAATAAAACATGTCTACATATATTTAAATTTAATATCAATTATGTGTATGTGTATATGTATATATATATATAGACGAATATGTAAAAAATGTCTAAACAATTTGTTTCAAGTATCTAAAATATTATATGTCTAATTTAATAAAATCATACCGAATTTATGGTGTTCCATCTAAAAATATTTGATTACACACAATTTGAAAATTATTAGTTTTGATACCAAAAATAATTACAAATTTTTATTTTGATACCAAAAAACAGGAAAGAGAATAACAAATTCTACCCAATAAATCAGTCGATTTGTTACACTATCTACCTAATAAATACCAATAAATCAGCCGTTGACTACCCTATCTACCAAAAAAACAGGAAAGACAATTGCTATATAAATCAGCCGTTGACTACCCTATCTACCAAAAAAACAGGAAAGACAATTGTTAAGTTTTAGGACACTATTAATGAAAGACAATTGGCGGCTGATTATATATACATATATTGGCGGGTATTGGCGGAAAAAATTTGCGGGAATCCTTAAAAGGTTGTTCTTTTAATATATAGATAGATTTATAGAAGAGTGAGAACGGAATCCTAGATTAATGTCGGGCTTTCTTAGGGGGTGATTGTTTATGGTTTGAATAGTAAAAAAACTAGAATTTTTTAATTATGGTTAAGTTTAAGAAAAAGTTGTATGGTTAGTTGTTAGTGGATACATTAAAATAGTATTTAAAATAAAATAGTTAAAGTTGATTTGATGTAAAGTAGGAGAAAAATGATTGGAAGTGATAGTTAGTTAAAATTAGTTAGAATTATGTGAGTTGATGAATAGTGAATTAAAGTTGATGTGATATGTAATAATGATTTGTTGATGTTATTTAATTATATAATAATATTGAAGATAATGGAGTTGAGTTAAAGTTGAGTTAAATTTGAATTTGAGTAAAAAAAATTACTGTAGGGATGATAAACAATCATGCCCTAGGGTGTGATTGTTTATCAATCAATCAAAAAGAACCAATCAAAATTCAAATTTAACTCAACTTTAACTCAACCTCACTATTTCCGATATTATCAATATAATTAAATAATATCAACCAATCATTAAATCAATCATTCTTATACATCACATCAACTTTAATTCACTATTCATCTACTCACATAATTTTAACTAACTATCACCTCCAATCATTTTTCTCTTACTTTTACATCATATCAACTTTAATTATTTTATTTAAAATATTATTTTAATATAACCACTAACAACTAACCATACCAACTTTTTTTTTAAAAATAACTATGATTAAAAAT